TGACTCCTCTTCTACCATAGATCCCAAGCCTAGGAAGATCTTGTAATCAGTCTTTGTAACCCAATCTTGGCCCGGGAGTGTGGGGAAGGGAAGCATGTTTAAGCCCTCATTAGGTTGAACTGATGGATGAGACGCTGGACCACAGCTAGGCCTGGGAGTGTGAGAATGTGCAGGCAGGGAAAGTCTACATCACTGATTAAACTATGCTTGTGAGCAGGCAACTTGACCCTGTCAAGATTAATACTGTCTGGATTGAATAGGAAGGTCAAGGTATGGGTCACTCACAGGCAGGCCTGGAATGCTAGCTTTGGACTGGGGTTGGGAGCAGGGTCTTGATCTCTCATGAGGCTGGCATTTTGAATAAGCTGTATGGGACAAGCTAGGCCTTATAGTATGGGGATATTATAGTGTAGTAGAAGGACAGGCTCTTGATCACTCATTCACTAGTCTGGGCTTGATCCTAGCTGGCAGGAGGGCAAGGGTCTGTATCACTCACCAGGCTGTGTTAGTCAGCAATATGTTTCACCTGAACAGATCCTGGGTGTGTTAGGAAGGTTCTAGAGGGGGAGCCTTAAGCATCAAACAGAGTGGCCTGGTGCTCAATTGTAGGAACAAATATTGACTTCTGACTGTGAGGAAAGTTAAGGCAGGGGGAGATCTTGGGTGATTGCTATGCTTGTGACAGACTAGCTGCTTGGCCAGAGCAAAGCCTGATTGGACAAGAGTACAAGCTCTGCAACCCAAGTTAGACCTATAAGTATTAGTAGTGTATCGGCAGGGCCTTGAACTCTCCACAGTCTAATTCAGTTAGCAGTATAGCTAGGGAAGGTGAGCATGGTTAAGGTATGTGTGGCTATTGGGAACTCATATGCAGAGCTGTTTTCATCCTGAATCACCCAAACTATCCTTGAACACACACAGACACACACACACACACACACACACACACACACACACACACACACACACGGAATATATATGATGGGGGAAGGCCTAATGTGGATCACTTGCTAGAGTAAGATGGTAATCAAGCAGCTTAACCCCATATAACTGAGAGAATGTGAATATGACAATAGATAAAGGTCTGGGTCCCTCACAGGCTGAGTATTTGGGCTAGGTTTTTTGAATTAATTAATTTTACATCCTGACCATAGTTTTCCCCATCTCCTCCCCATCCAGTCCTTTCCCCACCCTCCTTCTGCTCCCATTCCAATCCATTCCTCTGTTTCTGTTCAGAAAATGGCAGCCCTCTCATGGATACCAACAAGACATGGCATATCAAGTTGCAATAATGATAAGCATCTTCCCATGTACTAAGAATGGGCAAGGCGAACCATTATGAGTAGGGTCCCAAAAGCAAGTAAAAGACTCAGAGATAGCTTCGGCTCCCACTGTTCAGGATCCCACAAGAGGGACAACACTAAGTTAGTTTCAAGGAGGCTCTCTGATTGTTTGTTCAGTTTCTGTGAACTCCTGGGAGTCCCTGTGAGCCCAGCTTAGCTGACTCTGTGGTTTTCTTGTGATGTCTTTGATCCCTCTGGCTCCTGCAGTCCTTCTTCCCCCTCTTCTGCAGGATTCTCCCAGATCTGTCTAATGTTTGGTTGTGGTTCTTTTCATTTGTTTCCATCAGTTGCTGGATAAAGCCTTTCTGATGACAATTGGGCTTGGCATCAATCTATGAGTATAGCAGAATATCATTAAGAATCATTACATAGACTTTTTTTTTCTCCAGTTAGTTTTTGTCCTATCTTGGTTCTCTGGATCATTGAGACTGTGGGTCCTGGTGCTTCAGCCAGTGTCAGAGGTAGGCTTACTCTTGTGGCATGGATCTTAGTTTGTGCCAGTCATTGATTGGTTGGTCACTCCCCCAATCTCTAGGCCACCTTTACTCTAGCACATCCCATAGACAGGACAGGCTATAGGTTGAAAGTTATATGGCTGGATTGGTGTACCAATTTCTCCCACTTGAAGTCATGCTTGGTTAGAGGAAATAGCCAGTTCAGGCTATATATCTGCTATTGCAAGGGGTCTTAGTTAGGATTATCCTTGTAGATTCCTAGAGGTTCCCTTACTCCAGATTTTTTACCTGACTCCAAAAGGCATCCATTTCCAATTGTCTCTTCCCCTCCATCTTCCCCTAACCTGATCACTCATGTTTCCATCTCAATCCCTCAGTCCACTCACAAAATCTCTTCTATCTCCCTTTCTCAGGGAGATCCAAGCATGCCACCTTGAGTCCTCTTTGTTACCTAGTCTCTCTGGGTCTGTGAATTATAGCGTGGTTATCCTTTATTTTGCAGGTACTATCCCCAAATAAGAGAATACATACCATAGTTGTCTTTTTGAGTCTCAGTTACCTCACTCAGGATTTTTCTTTTTCTGCAAATGTAATGATGTTGGGAATGGGTGAATAAAATGTGGTATGTTTACACAATGGGCAGGGTTTTTTTAAACCTAGCTATACCTGGAAGTGTGTTAATGGTGGGGACTGGCAGGTTTGGGGATCATTTACCTGCTTGTACTGATACACAGCTGACCTGTGATTGTGGTATCAGTCCCTAGTCTGTGCAGGTACAGGAGGGAAGAGGTCTGGTTCAAAAAGGAGTTTTGAACAGCTCTGCGAGCTGCTTGAGGGGATGGGGAAGCGGGGCTTGATGCTTAACAAAGAGGGGCCTGAGGCTGTTGGGGATATTGTGGGAGTGCGAGGCTCTGGAGTGGAGGCTGTACAACCCAAGCAAGGTGTGGAAATATTAGGGAGACATAAGCAGGATAGTATTTTTTTTGAACTCTTACCAGGCTGGGATGGTCTCAGCTAGGCCAGGAAGCTTGAGAATGGCTTACACAGTGAGGTCCTTTCAGAAGTCACCATGCTGGGTTGGTGTGCAGGCTGGGCAATGCCAGCTAGAGCTGCCACGTAAGGATCACGTAGAGCACAAGATCTCTATCACTCACTAGTCTTGACTGGTATCTGTGTTGTTTAATAAATCTGGGAATGGTACTGTGTTGGTGAACGAATTGCTTAAGCTAGGGTAGGCCTGAGCTGTAAGGATGAGGCCTGAGCTGTAAGGATGATTTGAGAGGACAAGGTCTTGATAACTCAACAGCCTGAGTTAGTGTCCAGGCTGCTTGATCTCAGTTGGTCCTGGGACTTCAGAAATGACACAGGAGTGCAAGGTTTAAGTTATTCACCAGGCTTTGATCATTGGGCTTATGCTTGATTTGAACAAAGTCTGGAAGTCTGAAGAGGCTGCTTGGGTAGAAATCTGGATTCCCCATGAGGCTAGGATATCGTTCCGGTTATATGGCCCAAGCAAGGCCTGTGAATGTGAGGATAAGAAGGCAGGTGGGGACATTGGACAGTCTTTATTGCGGCCTAATACCCGTGGTGTATGACCCAACAGCATGAGTGTACAGAAGGTGAAGACAACTGGTGGTCTTGGGCACTCATAGGCTAGGCTGATGGGCAATCAGCAGGACCATAGATATGCCTCAAGTGTGAAGATGATGGGAGAGAGGACACTCTTGGTCAACTTTGCTCCAACCAGGCCTGGGCCTGTGGAGATGGCACAGGTTGGCAAAGGTCTGCCATTCAAAGATAAGGCCTTTTCATGGTCTTTGTGAATGGAGATAGGAAGGCAATAGTAATGGTGGTGAAGGGAGTGGTTGTGGGTCTCTCGCTAGGATGAGCTCATGCATCATGTGCGTGGTAATTTTTCATAAGCCACTAAAATGAGCTACTCAGAGAGGACAGGGGACCAATTCACTACTAAGTTTGACTTAAGAGCAATCAGTTTGCTCCAAACGGACCCTGGGAGTTTCCATTTTGTGCAGAAGGGCAGAGTCTTGGTCTTTCATCTGGATGGGTACACCACCATTTAGAGAGTTCAGTCCCAGGCAGGTTCCTCAGCTCAGTCCATAGTGCATGAACTCCCATGAGCTCAGGTCAGCTGTCTCTGTGGTTTTCCCATCATGCTCTTGACCCCCCTTGTTTTCTTATCATGCTCTTGACCCTAACCTTGTTAATATGACCCCTCCTCCCTCTCTTCAACTGAACTTCAGGGGCTCTGCCCAGTGCTTGACTGTGGGTCACTGCATCTGCTTCCATAAAACCTACTGGTTATGGGTTTTATGATGACAGCTAGGGGAGTCACTAATCTGACTATAGGGGAAGGCCAGTTTGGGCCTCTCAAGGATCTTTTTTAAAAATCCTCCTCTAAACAGTCTTTTAAAAGTCTGTTACCCTCTTGGTGGAACACATAGGAGGAGGGGGCAGTTGGGGGAGCAGGGGGAGGGGAAGAAAGGAGAACTTGGATTGTAATGTAAAAAAATAAATGTAAAACAAATTTTTTAAAAAGCCTGTTTCCAAGGAACATTCTGCTCACTTACTACTTTCAAAATCAAAAACCCAAATACAAAGCCTGGCCTTTTCCTTTCTCCTGTTATACAACCTAGTTTTTCTTCATGTGCATCTATTCAAGTGCTAGGGAAAACTCTTGAAGTAAAGTTTCCTATAATATCATGCTTACGTGTTTGAGCTTTCCTGCCTCATGGCCAAAAAGTTATTGATAACATCTAAGTGCAATAGTGAAAAACCCCTTAAAAGGTCAAGTGTGGAAGACGCTTCATTGAAATATAGATTTATGTGGCTGGAATGATGGCTCAGTGATAAAGAGGCCTGTTTGTTCTAACAGATGTCCCAGGGTTGGTTCCTAGCGCCCTCAGGGAATCCATTTCCCTGTTCTGTATTCTCCCAGCATACTATATGGCCCAAGTGGCACACAGGCATGCACTCAGCAAAATCACTCTCACACATAAAATATAAAATTACGTTGAACATAAATTTTCTTAAAGGTACTGATGTGACAACAGAGTTATAAAGTCTGGGAGAAAGTGAAACCAACATAGGACTTCACTACCTAACAAATCAAGTACTTGTATACTTCAACTCACAGAATAGAAAACCATTAAAAGGTACTGTCCAAACTATAGCAAAATCACTTAAAAAAATATTACCACTCTGTCTTGTGCCAGATCTTCACAGCTGTGACATGGTTTAAATTCCATAATCCATCCCCCAGAGGACCCCATCCAAACCAAAAATCAAATTTATCCCTCCATTATAAGATGATCCATCTGTAGACTGTATCTTAAACGGACACAGTCATCATATTGTAGTTTTGAGAAGGGCTTGCTCTGCCCAAGAGAGTTTCCTCTTTGCAACTGATTCTGCTGTCTACCGTTTGCTCATTGGTGCCACTTTGAGAACTGTCTGCCGATGGCAAGGCTTCATACAGTACACAAATAGAGCCATCCTCTCCAATCCGGTAGGACACTTCATATGGGTCAACCCAGAGTGTGAGTTCACTTGGCAGAAGCTTGAACAACTCTTGACTGCTTAGCCCAATCTGCTGGGCTGCCCGTCCAATCAGAGGATCCATCTTATGATTGATGCGAATACACCTGTAGCCAGATCCTTTGCAGGGCTTCTCTGGAAACCAGTGATGTTTGTAATGTTCTGCCAGCAGATCCTGCAGGCTCTGGCTGAAGGTCTGCAGCTGTTGTTCACTCCTGAGGCCCTTGGTGCCGAGGAACTTTGAGATGAATTTTGCAGCAGCACAGATCTCGCCTATCATGGTGCCTGCAAGGGTATAGAGGGGTGCACGGGGTAGCAGACAGGTCAGTAGTGTGGCTGTGAAAGCACAGTGGCCACCCCAGGCTTCTTTTAGAGGAAAGAAGTCTTTGTGCAGGCAAGAGAAGGGAGGAGATGGACAGGCTGGTCACATCACTGTGACCTCTCCAGCCATTTCTACCAACAGCTCTGAAACCTCCAAGGATCCCAAGAGTTGTATTTCCAGTTCCAAAGGGCAACATTACTTATATCCTTAAAGGCATATTAAGCTTAAAGGGGCTGAGCACATAGGTTAACACATTGAGTTCTTATGTTGGCATGTTAGCTCGGGGAAGTGGAATGCACTTGCTAGACTGGGCTGATGGGAAAGGTGCCTGGCCAGAACTGGGACAGGGAATATAGGGATGGCATGGGAGTGGATCACCTTGATTACTAATACATGGCTGTTCTTATTCCCAGGCTACTGGATCCCAACCAGTACAGGGGTTTTTAGGATGGTCGGGGAGAATTAGTCTTGATCACACACCAGATCAATGAGCAGACAGCTTGACCCCAGCTTACCTTTGGACTATGTGGTTGTCACAGAAGGACATACCCAAGATAGGCTTGGGAGTGTGTTAATGTTATAGATAGGCAGGGTTATTGGTGAATCAACAAGCCAAGATCAGTGTATAAGTGTGATCCAAACTATGGTATATAGTATGCAAAAGGCAGGGTCTTGATCCCTTACCAGTGAGGGTTGCTGAGCAGACAGATTGACTTCAGCTGAGTTAGAGACTGGTCAGATGTCACATGAGTGCAAGATCTGGATCACTCAGGAGGTTGACTCGAGTACAGGTTGTGTGACTGAAGCTAGTCTTGATAGTGAGAGTACACCAGCAGCAGGATTGTGTCTTGAGCTCTCACCAGGCTGGATGGTACACAGTGTGACTGGCTCCAGCTAGAAAATGGACTGACCCATTGTTAGTCTTAGCATATGAGCAATCAGAGATGGTTCCAAGTCTGCTTTGTACTTTATGGACCTGGGAGTACACTAGTATTTGGGCTACTTGATCCCACCTGTGGTCTGAGGCTCTGGTGATGACATAGGAGGGCAAGGGTATGAGTCATTCTGAAGGCTATGTTGGTCTGTGATCACACTGACCTGAACTAAGCCTGGAGATGTGATAAAGGCACTAGAGGAGCAGGTATCTTGGTCACTGACAGGCTCTGCTGTTGCTCAGGCTAAAAGGCCAAAGTAGTCCTGTGAGAGTGATGAAGATAAGTGTATTTATTGGTTGTTTTTATTAGACTCTGCTGATTGGTAAGCTGCTTGGTATCAGCTAGTCCTGGGTGTGTGAGGATTGTGTGGGACTACAGGCTCTTAATCACTGAATATGCTCTTCTGGCTTCTTCTGAACAGGTCTTAGACTATTAGGTTCATGAGAGATGGAGAACCTGGTATTAATTATTACCAGGTTACATTACTGGGTAGGTGGCTTTGACCCATACAGCTCTGTGACTATGGGGACAGCAAAGGAAGGCAGTTCTGGGTCACAGAGATGGCTTGTGGGCAGCTACAAGACATATGCTAGCCCTGGTAGTATGGTAATGTTGCAGAAGAGCAAGTTTGTGTGTTACAGTGTGGAACACAGTATGCCTGGGGTTGCAAGACCACTTTCTCGAGGACAACATTCTGAGTCACTAACCAGGCTTGGAAGGCCCATATACTCCTTGCTCTGAATTATGCTGAAGAGTGTGAGGATGGGGCATGGGGATAGAGTCTTTCTCCATCACTAGGACAGGCTGCTGTAGCCATCCTAGGCCTGGGGATGTTCTTGGAAGTACAGGGGTCTGCGTCCTTCACTAGGCTGGGCGAGAGTGCAGGCATTGCTGCTCAAGCTATTGGGGAGTATTAGTGCCACACTGGAAGGTCCAAATCCGGAGCTCTCACCAGACTAGTACGATTATACAATCTGATTGACCCCCAACTCGGTCATGTTTGTGAGGATGGCAATGGCAGGTGAGGTTTACAGGAACTCACCAGTGTAAGGCTTTGTGTTTGGAAGATGTGGTAGTAAAGTGGGGTCCTGACCACTCAGTAGTCTGGGCTTGAAATATGGGGCTTACATGGAGGTCATTGCTCTTGAATACTCACCAAGATGTGCCGGTCAGTGATCTACTTCACCAAAGGTCTGAGATGGCTGGTTGATGGGGAATCTCGATCACTCACTTGCCTTGTCTTTTCAGGCTGTGTGGTCCACGCTAGGGCTGTGAGTATGAGAAGGATAAATGTGGAGAGTTTGATTAACAGGGCACTCATTGCTTCCATGACCCCCAAGAAGTAGTGAAATCATTAGGACTTTGTGGGGGAAGGATAGGGAGGCCCATCCAGGTCTTGATCACTTACCAAAGTAGACTTACGAGCAGGCAGCCTGACCGCAAGTCAACCACTAATTGTGGGGATGACACAGAAAGACAAAAATATGATTTCCTCACAGGTTGAGCTTGTTTGCAGGCCTTTTAACTCAAGGTAGACCTGGAAGAATGGTAATGGTGGGAAAGAGTGGGTTCAAGATCATCTACCTGGTTGGGCTGGCCCACAGTCTGCCTGTAATTATGAGATCATTCCCTAGTCTGAGCAGGTGTAGGAGGGCAGGTGCCTGCATCACAAAGGAGCCTTGGCTTGCCTGAGAATTGCTGAAGTGGGACCATGCCTGGGAGTGTGTAAATGACACCAGAGTATAGGGTCTTGATCCCTTATCAAGAGGGGCCTGGCTCTATGGAGATTTCCAGAGAGTATAAGGGTCTAGATCATTCACCTGGCTTGGTTATAGTGCAGACTGTGTACCATAAGCTAGGCCTAGAAGTATTAGTATCACACTAGCAGAATAGGATCTTGATCTATCAGACTAGGATGTTGTACAGTCTGATTTACCCCAGTTCATGATCATTAACCAGACTTAGTTACTGGCCATACTTGATGACCTCCAGCTGGGTGTGGGAGTATGGTAATGGTGCAGATGGCTGAGTCTCTGGGGAATTCACAAGTCTGGGATGGTAGATAACAGTTTGGCCCAAACCAGGTGTGAAAATGGGAGGATTGCATGAGAGGGCAGTGACTTGATCACTCACCAATCTTGTCTGGTACCCAGACTGCTTAATGCCAACTGGGCCAGAGTCTCTGATGGTGGTGATAGAGGAATTCACAATTTTGGCAAACTCATCAATTTAGTTGGAGAGCTGACAGACCTGAACTAGGCCTGGGAGTCTGGGGAAGACACTGGCTTGGGAGTCTTGGTCATTCACCAGGTTGGGCTATTGCTCAGGCTCTGTAGCCCAGTTTTGGCCAATGAGTATGTAATAGACAGATGGGTATATTGGGTACACACAACACTGGCCTGGCAGGCTGTCTTCCTAGGATCATGACAACACTGATAATCTGAGTTAGTTTTGTTGGTTAGACTTGACTGCTCAGTGAACTGCTTGACCTAAACTTGATCTGAGTGTGTCAGGATGATTAAGGTGGGGTCTTGATTCTACAATAGGTTGGATTAGAGTACAGGCTGTTCAACCCAGGCTAGGCCTGGGAGCATTAGTAGGACAACCCAGGATAAGATCTTGTGCTTGCACCAGGCTCATATGGTCTGATGGACCCCACTAGGCCAGGGGTATGAGAATGGTTCTGGCTGGCAAGTTCCTGTGAATTCTCCACTGTGGGCTGGGCTATTTTAACACCATCTATCTAGGCCTGGCAGTGTGAGGATAGGTTCTTAGTTGCTCACCAGTCTGGGCTGTTGCCAACCTTCTTTACCCGAATGTGGCTATTGGGAGGGTGGGTGGGGTTCTGGGCAACACTCCAGGCTGGATTGGTACACTAATCACTTCCTATTGTGAGACAATTGCTAATCAGACGTGATGGGGGAGGACAGGAGTCTGTGTTACTAGGCTATGGAATGTGATGATGTTTCAGGATGCCCTGCTTTACCCAAGCTACTCATGCGACTATAAGGTGTATTTTGGAATAGCCATGGGTTGAACAACCCTTTCTTGGAGTTTGCATATCAGCTAGCCTGGGTATCAGATATTACCATTATAATCCATGACAGTTGCAAAATTATAGCCAAGTAGTAGCAAGGAAAATAATTTTATGGTTGGAGGTTACCATAACATGAAGAGCTATATTAATGGTCACAGCATTAGGAAGGTTGATGTCTAGACCATCAACATGAGGAACTGTATTAAAGGTCCCAGCATTAGGAAGGGTGAGAACCACTTTTTAGACCATCACCATGAGGGACTGTATTAAAGGTCCCAGCATTAGGAAGGGTGAGAAAAACTGTCTAGACCATCAACATGAGGAACTGTATTAAAGGTCCCAGAATTAGGAAGGGTGAGAACCACTGTCTAGACCATCAACATGAGGAACTGTATTAAAGATCCCAGCATTAGGAAGGGTGAGAAACACTGTCTAGACCATCAACATGAGGAACTGTATTAAAGGTCCCAGCATTAGGAAGGTGAGAACCACTGTCTAGACCATCAACATGAGGAACTGTATTAAGGTCCCAGCATTAGGAAGGGTGAGAACCACTGTCTAGACCATCAACATGAGGAACTGTATTAAAGGTCACAGCATTAGGAAGGGTGAGAACCACTGCACTAGAGAAAAGATCCTCAAAAGTCTACTTATAAAAGATGTTGGTAGAAGAAAGAGGTAAAGTGGGGAGAGGAAAAGGAAAGGGGGAAGAAGGGAGCCCTCTGACAATGAATGAGGTTGTTTCTGACACTTAAAGGATGGTATGAAGTAGATATCATACTATCTTATTTGACAAATTTCACAGCACTCTTTGTCCATTTTGAGATTGGCCACTTGTGAGGAGGCACTGTAGACCATTAGGAGTTAGGATCTAATTGTTTGTAGATGATATCACAAGTCCTTGTGTCAGGTTGGAAACAGGGTCTGACTGCCAATTTCATTTTTAAGTTTTGATATTTTTATACAGAAAACATTTTTTCAGCATGCTGTTCTATTTAGAT